GGATGAGTGAAAAAATAAAAGCCACGTGTCATACCATCCAAAATGTTTACGGGTAACAATGAGAGAGTCGATGGAAAATATTGTAGCGGACCGGATGAAACATTGATTCCTACCTGAGACTCCTATCCTATCCTATTACAAATGCCTAATTGAAACTGGTGCTAAGAGGAGAGATCTGGACTGGGACTTTTTTTATTGAAAAACCATTTCCCGATTATAATACGATCCTAGTGCCAACAGGAGATCAGCTTCTATGACATCCAAGACAGTAAAATTAAAAACTGCATTGGAATGTATGTATTCTAAATACGGCTCAGTACGCATTATATGGGTACTAGGCCATAGCCGTTATATTGGGGTCTTTACGAGGACGTGGTCCTGCATAGGCAACATTTGTCATAAGCCATTACAATATTCAAATACGAAACTTGAAAAAAATACGGAGAGAAATGTAGCTAAAAATCATCAAAATACCGAATGTAGGGAAGTACCGTTTGATAGGCTGTAGTACTGATACATGGGGCTGCATAGACAATTTTCTGTCATAGATTGTAATTCCCATTACGAACTATAAACACGAAATTTGAAACAACTCCGGTGAATAATGTCCCTAAAATCGGAAAAATGTCAAAAATGGGTGGAGGGGGGGGGGAGGGGGGTACGTTTATATATGGGCTATACGAAGCCGTGGGCCTGCTTTATCATTTTTTTTGTCGTAGACTATAGTACCCATTACGAATTCTAAACACGAAATTTGCAACAACTCCGGTTAATAATGTCGTTAAAATCATCAATCAATCAAAAAACTGAATAATAAGAGGTACTTTTCCAGGGGGTTAATTGCCTAGAAAGAACTTCTAGTATTGATTTTAAGAAAATTCCATTGAAAATTTTAGCTAAAATCATTAAAATACCGAATTTAGGGAGGTACCGTTGTATGGGGGAATATACGATATTGGGGACTTATATAGACAATACTCTTCCAGGGGATAAAGTACTTAGAAGGAACTCCTTTTATGGATCTTCAGGCAATGTCATTGAAAAAATTGACTACAATCATCAAAATACCGGATATCGGTTGGTGGGTGGAGAGGGTTTTGTGTAGTTATGTGGGGCTGCATCAACGCTTGGGAACATTGATATATCAAAAAATTTTAAAATTTTCAAAAATAAATAGATTTTTATAAGTATATGCATTTTTCAAGAATTTTTACAAATTTAAATAATTTTTCATTCAACATTTTCAATTCGAAAATTGGTTTGACAGTTCATTGTCCCAGCAGCTGTGACGATGCGTCTACCTATATTTTTCTACCATGTAGGAGGGTATAAAAATGTATATTTCCTATTAAAGATATGGTGACATCGAAATTAGAAAGAGCTGATTCAACTACCGCCGTCAATAATTTCGATCCGACTCCACAGTTTGATTGATGAATAGAATTGTGACCAAGTAAGGTATAAGTAAAAAAATGTACATCATATGTACATCCACCATACTATTGAGCGCCGACTTAGTCGGGGAGGGGGCCGATACAAATAATATATTAGACATTTTATATTAATTATTGTATTTATTTGTCAACGTACAACAATGGTATTATTACACTCCGTCCACGACAATATGGCAACTTTGGCGATCTACACGAATGATACAACATGGTTATGAAATCGGCTAAAATGCTTAGAAAAAACGTCTGCTATTGTTACGACTTTTAAAAAAAGATTTGTTGTTACATATATAGAATAGGCTGGCTGCTTGTTCTATGTTTTTTTTTTGTTTATTTGTTGTTTATTTGTTTAAGATTCACATTATACAGTAGAATGCAAGAAATAAAGTATTTGTTGTTCTTGTTGTTTTAGGCACTAATTGGAATATTTGCAAAAATATTTCAAATATTACGACGAGTTGTTTGTCTGTTTGTTTTTTTTGTTTTGTTTTGTTGTCCTTAAATAGCATAATTATAATAATAAACATGGCGACGAAAGTGGCATATTGTAATTTATTGATAATTTCTTCATCTGCTTTGTTTTGTTTAAATATTTTGTTTTTGTATAAATTTCCCTAACAAAAATGTACTTTTACTCTCGTTTGGCATATTTTTCTGTTTCGGTTTTTGTTTTAAAATTTAGTAAAGAAATGCTTTATTTTTGTCATTTAGTTTAGCTCTCACTTTTGTTGGTTTATGTTTTTATTCTTTTGTTTTCCTAAACTGGTGTTGTTGAAGGGGGGAAGGGTGAATAAATATCGTGTTGGTTTGTGGGGGAGCGGGGTAATGGTAGTAGTAGCTTATATCAGGAATCCTTGGTATGGCTTTGTTTTCGTTTTAAATGCATTTTAATGATTCAAGAAAAAAAACACAGAATTATTAGTCATTTGTATTTTTAAAATATAGAGCATATAATGATATAGATATATGGGAAACAAATTAAAATATATATATATATATGTATACATGTATATTAAAAAAATTATAAATAATTATGTTTAATTAAATGTTATTTAGACTACAACAAGAAATCAATTCGTTTGTTAGAAATTCCTTTGGTATTTAAGTGAGTATTTTATTCGATTTTGTTATATTTTTGTTTGTTGAATAGGAATATTTAAAGAAAAAGAAGCTTTACAGATCGAAGAGTAACTCTATTCGTTTCGTGTCTTGCGTCGATGACATTCGCAGAAAGAATATTGCTTGCTCTCTTTTGTGGAAGTGAGCGGGAGATAGACGGAGTTTGGCATTAACATACTCAGATTCCCATGAGAGTAGTATAAACTCTCATCGGTCGTTAGATGGCGATCCAGGGATGGAAAATCTAAATTCGAAATTGAAATTAGAGTAAATTTTTATTTTCCTAAACAAATTGAGAAACTCAAATGATTAAATACAACAATATAAAAATTGCTGACGATTTTCTCTACAAGTTGTTTAATTGAAAAATGTTTTCAATAAGCTTTCTTTCAAATGTCCTTAGCCAAAAACAAAAGTTTAAAAGCTGTATTATTTATAGAAGTCTGGTCTTTTGTTCAATAAATAGTTCTGGACCATACAAGAAGTAATGCAGGCCATAGGAATGAACATATTTGAAACCCTGAAAGCTTTCAGAGGGCTCCTATGTGAATCAGGATTTTACAAAGCCTTAATCTTAAAAAAAAACTTTAGAGGCATCTTATTTTTGCACGAGCATTAAGGATAGTTTGACTTTTGAAGCTTGGCTATAATTGAAAACTTTTTAAAAGTATGCTTTCTAGAAAGACATAATGTCCTCTATCTATAGAAGAACTTTTGAAGAGGGAATCGTGGTTTAGTTTTCTCATCTTTTTATAGATGACCTTATGATGCCCTTGTTTTTTTTTTAAAAGTTTTGGATTTTGTAAAAGTTGTTGTTAATAACAAATTCTGTTTAGGAGCTTTTAATGATCCTCCAGCTTTAGAAGAGTCTTTAACGAGGGAATCGTATCGAATCGAATTTTACTCTACTTTTCATAGATTATTTATCAACATTTCTGCAGAGCAACTTTTAACGATCCTGTAGCTATAGAGGAGCTTCTCAAGGTAATATATCTGTAGAGCACCTTTTAAAATAGCTCTATCTGTAGAGAAGCTTTTAAAGGTTATCTAAATTCAGTTGAGCTTTTTAGAGATTCTTTATCTGTAGATAAGCTTTTAAAGTTTCTCTAGCCTTAGATTAGCTTTTAACGGTCCTCTATCTATAGATGAGCTTTCAGAGCTATTCCAGCTGTATAGGAATTTACAAAGATCATTCAGCTGTAGAGAAGCTTCTACATATCCTTCACCTGTAGAGCGGTCTTTGAAGATTCTCTGTCTTAAGAAGAACTTTTAAAGGTCCTCCAGCCATAGAGAACCATTTAAAGGTCCTCTATTATGTTGAGGAGCTTTTGCGCATTTTTCTACCTTTATTATCTCAATTTGTAAGGAATCTTCAAATCAAAAAATGTGGAATTTATTTTACATTATTTTACATTGAAAAATGTGGAATTTATTTTACAAGAAGAAGCATTAGGCAACATTTTATATTAAAAACGTTTGCGTGTCTTCTATCTTTAAGATAGTGATGGAAGGTATCATCTATATGACCGAGTGTTCAATTGCTTCAATGTATAAATGGGGATGCGAAGGTTTCACAGCTAAACTAGCTTTGAAAAGTCGTACATGTATTGATTACACTGTTTATGCATTCTACAGAAGAGCTTTCCGCAAGTTTTACAGAAACTTTTACGAGTCCCCTATTATAGAGGATTTTTTCTATCTGCGGAGAAGATTAAAAAGCTTTCAATCTTTCCAAGAAATTGTTGAAAATATTTTATCAGCTCATATGATAACTTCTATTTTCTACTTGCAGATAGAGAAAACCTTTTAGATTTAATGTTGTCACATAAATCCAAAAGTTAAGAGATCTAAAGGGGGGGAGGGGGGTTTGAAAAGGACAATTCATAAAGCTAAAAACATTTTGCTGTTTTTCCATCGATAGATGAATGGAGAGAGGTTTACTTAAAAATTCTGATTTTTATTTACTTCTTAAAATTCAGATTTCCCATCCCTGCTACATTCTCTCCCTTTTGATTCTTTGATCACTTCTCCTCTCTTTGCGCAAGCATTCGAATAAATGTCAGAGAGAAAGAGAGAGACTTTTCTCTGCGACTCTGTTTCGAAACCCTGTGATAAACACTTCTTTTTTGATGATGTTTCTCTCTTTTGCACTCTCTTGGTTTTTGGTTTGGTTTTGGTTTTTTTGTATTTTCTTTGAATATGGACAGTAGTATTTGAATTAAGCAATAATTTTGGTTTTCAATTGAAGCCATTGTTTTTTCTTTGGTTTTCTTTTTTTGTTTTTGCAAATTTTTGTAGAATATTTCTTTTTTGTTTTTCTTTTATTGCACAATTTTCTTCTCAATTTGAATTTTTTTGTTGCGATTTTTTCTATTTAGCTTTCTCTTAAGAATCTAAAGATAGCGTATCTACGTCAAATTTAAAACTTACTTGGCGTTTATGCTCTTGTGGCAGTTTTGGATAATCTAAATCTAGTTTCGAATATGGTGACAGATGATGCTGATGATGTGAGTGATGTGGTGTTGTCGAATATGAATGATGTGGTTGTGGGTGGTGGTGTTGCTGTTGTTGGCCTAACGTGCTCGGATGGTGCAGATGTGTGTGGTGGTGCGTGGGTGGATACAACATGGCGTCGTGATAGGCCGCCGAGCCGGTTAGTCCTGTCGCAGCCCCACCACCCATTGAACTGCGCACATCATGCAATGCACTGCTGGTCAGCGTGGCCGGGAATGGCGCCGTGGTGCTGGCCAATGCCGCCAGGGGATGCGTTTGCAAATGATTCTGTTGCTGATGTATGTGAAATTGATGATCCGGATTCAGTTGCTGCTGCACCGAGGCATGGATGTGAGCTGCTGAGGGATGTGCACTAACGGGCAATTGATGCTGTTGATGGGCATAATGATGCGTACCGGCGAATTGCTGTTGGATATTTTGGGCCAGCATCTGCTGGTAGGCCGAGGATTGCTGTTGCTGGGCAGCGGCAGCGGCGACGGCGGCTTGTTGCTGCTGTTGATAGAGTTGCGAAATGGCGGGATTTGAAGCGTGCAAAGAGGACATTAAGTTGCGCTGCTGCAGTAGACTTTGCAGATTGTAGGGCGACAGATCTGAGGGATTCGTATAGAGATTGTGGCCACCGTACTGGCTACCAGTCGTGGTCATGTAATTACTGCTACTCAGCGGGTATTGCTTGCTGCCGCCACCTAACGGATAATTCAGATAGTTCAGATTCGATACGGAATAGGCGGGTCTGAGACGCGATGCACCGACCGCCGTTTGCATTTGCGAGGGCGCAGGCGGCGGTGGCGGCTGTGCCTGGCCATACTGTTGGAAGTACATGTTCGGTTGCGACGAGAAACTCGCGGACATTTGCATTAGATTATCGTTCAGATAGGGCGGCGAGGTATCTCCCGGATGCAAAGTAGGATAGCTAGATACCACACGACCCGGATAGTGCGATAGGGGCGTCACCGTTTGGGCGGCAGCCTGCTGGGCCTGTTGTAGGCGGGCCTGTTGCGTCAGTATCTGTGACGATCTGGAAATTGACTTGTGGGCCTCGTTGAGCAAATTCAAAATATTCGAGGAGGAAGACTGGTGTATGGGGGCGGGACCCAACGGCTGTTGATAGCCATAGTAATCGTTCATCATTGAGGCCGAGGGCAGGCCAGCAATGCTATAACGCCGACGACGTATAGGCGAGGTCTGACCATAACCGCCATATGCGCCAATGCCTGCTGCCGCCGCTGCCAGTGTAGGATCATAGAGGTAGCCCGTTGACGTCGAGGGACCATACATGTCATAGCAAGGCAAATTGGCGGCAGCACCCGCCACGCCGCTGCCGTAACCACCTGTGTAATATTGTCCTATAATATCTGGTAATGGTGGGCTTCCAGCAGGTGGATAATTACCGTACATCTGAAATGGTCGATTTGAAATTGGTTTTTGGTTTTGTGGGTGCTTGGTTTGGTTTTATGATTTTTTTTTGTTTTTTTTTCTGAGGGGAGGAATTTGTTTTTGCTTTCTCTTTTTGTTGTTATTTTTTTATTATTGTTGCGTTGTTTATTTATTTAGTGAAAAAAATGTTTAACTGAATTTTAGAGAGAGAGAAAAGAGAGTGATGCGGTAACTTTTTCATTTGGTTTTCAATATCGACCTCTCTGTTTGTGAAAAGAAGATTTTCGTTTATTCTGAAGATTTCATTTTGATTGTGGTTTTGGTATTCATTATTTTATTGTTGTTAGATTTTGAAATACAAAACACACACACACATACAGAATTGAACACAAAGAGAAAAAAAATATTTCAATTGGCTACACAGTGCTACAAAATTAAATTAAAAATAAACGAAGATGTATTTGCGTAAAGTGACCTAGCCGACAATGTAGGAGCTATTGGTAGCTCTGCCTCAATATAGGGTGACATGTAAAAATGTTGATACATAGGAGGTTTTTACTTAACTTTTGGACTATAACAACTGCATTGGTTTCAAAGATTTAAGGGCTTGTTAATATATGATGCTACAAAAAGTGAACTCGAAAGAAAATCACCACTTCTCAGAGTATTTTTTAAAATTGAATAAAAATCTAAAAATTGAAAACTATGCAAGGAATGGCTGTTAAATTTTGTTGTCATAGAAAAACAGACCATCAATTTTAAATTTGATACAATTTAAAGGAAGGTACACTCGTTCTCTTGGGTAAAACGTCATTACATAATAACTGTGTACGATAACCCAATAATTTGAACAAATTATTACGAAATGTTGTTCGATAAACGAACGAGAGTCCAGCAAATGGAAGTGAGTAAAGAGAACAATATTGACAGTTCAGCTATTGAGAATATGTAAATTGTTACTTGAAACAATTCCGGTGAATAATTTCGCTTAAATCACCAAAATACCGAAAATAGGGAGGTACAATTATATGGGGGCTATACCAAAACGTGGACCTACATGGCCCATTTTCCTGTAGACATAATATACATTTGAGTAAAATTTATCAACCTACTTCATTTCGTTCGGAAGCTAGAGCGATTTCCACAGACGTTCAATTGACATAGAAATTTGTGCTGATCAAGAATATTTTACCTATCAAGGTGTTACAAACGGAATGACAAACTTAATGTACCCTCCATTCTAAGGTGGAGGGTATAAAAAGTTTCTAAAAATGACTTGATTTTTCAAGTTTTTGTTTTTAGAACAGTGTTGGCATTTTTGTTGGGGATACCGTATTTTTTGTTGATCCAAAATAGTTTGGCTTAATTCCATAATTGTTGTTTTTTAACCTTTATTTGCTAGTGGAGAAAGATGGGAATGTTTACCAGGGAGTAAGGCAGGGAATACCAATGTTTCGCAGGGAATACATTTTTTCCCTTATTTTTTTGTCTGGGACATTTTTCCCAGCAGTTGTTTTGTTGTCACATTTTTCATCGGAATTGTATCAAATTTGGTATTTGAAGTTCGTGATACTATTTCCTGTGACAGAAAATTGTTGCGCAGATCCACGTCTTTGTATAGCCCCCATATACCGGTACCTCTCATTATTCGGAATTTTGATGATTTGAGCTATATTTTTTAACAGAATTATCTTGAACTTGATATTTGGAGTTTGTTAAAAGCATTGCCCTCCCTGACAGATAATTGACTGTGAAGTAACACATGATATTCGGAATTTTAAAAAAGGTTCGCAACATTTTGCGAAGGTTCTTTTTAAAATTGTGCATATTCCTTCCAATTGGTGGAGGGTATTAAAGATTCGACCTGGCTGAACTTAACTTCTTTTGTGATTGTTCTTTTTCAGGATATGTTCATCATATGGACGAGATAACGGAGGAGATTCCACTAATTTAACGCTATAATCTAGAGATATAAGAGTTTTAAGGAGGATATTTTGAACGTAAGGACCTTTCGTGAAATGTCAACTCCACCGACTTCCATTGGGGTGATTCGCTTGTTTCCTACCACCAGTAGTCCCCCTCTAGGTTTAGTTGCAAAATTCTAAAATCAAATTACAAAAATATCTTTCGGTTGTCAGAACACTCCCAACAATTTGGAGATTTGGATTCTCCATACAACTCAAATGTCAAAATGACGAAAATGTCAAAATCAACCAAAACGACAACAAACCACACCACGCCGTATCCTTCTAGTTATTATTATGTTAAGTTTTTATTAATAATTTGTTTCTTTCTTTTCAGCTTTTTTTCAGTTATAGCACCCCCCCCCCCCCCCCCTCTTGATGAAATGCAGGAAACAGCAAACTGTCTCGATGGAAGTGAGAAATTTGGTAATTAAACATTACAAAAACCATAAATCACTAAGTGAGATATCTGGGATTGTTAGTAGAAGCCGATCTACAGTTCAGTTCAAAACAGATGGATGTGTAGAAAATAAGTCAAAAACGGCAAATAATAAAATATTTACCTTGAGGGATGAGGAGTATATTTTACGGCAGATCAATTTTTGAGTGCACCGAAGCTCGCAAAAATTGCTGAAAAGGATTTGGGAAAGGTATGTTGCGCTCAAACAATAATAAATATACTGCAAATTCGATTTACAATGGAAGAAGAGCTACACATAAATCTCTAATCAGCAAGCGAAATCAAGAAGTAAGATTTCGATTTGCCCAAGAGCACATATCAAAAGATTTTTTCATTTTGGAAGAATGTGCTGTTCACGGACGAGAGCAAATTCAATCTTTTTGTTTGAGATGGAGAAACTCAAAAAATATTAAGCCTACAGTGAAGCACGGTGGTGGGTAAGTAATGGTGTGGAGTTCATTTTCAGCTTCTGGACCTAGTGTATTGCATTTTATTAAGGGTATTATGGATCAGGCTATGAACCTTAACATTTTGAAAGAAAGTTTGCCACTCTGTAAGGGATAGTTCGGCCTTGGCGAAGATTATTATTTTTATCAAGACAATGATCCGAAACTCAAGACTTATAAAATGCGGTCATGGCAGAGTCCAGACATAAACCCCATAGAGAATTTATGAAGCTATCTCGATGGAAAAATTCGCCAGCATACATACTAAAGAAGATTTGAAGAAGGCTTTGTTGGAAGAATGGCAAAAAATTGAACTTGAAATTAAGCTCTTGCGAAAAACTGGTTGAAAGTATGCCAAATAGGCTACAAATTGTAAAAAAAGTAAAGGAATGCATACAAAATATTAATGTCTAGAAATACTTTAAATTACACGAAGTGTACGAGTTTGGCATTGAAATATGATCTCTTTTAAAGTTTATTATTTTTCTTATTTGGTTAATAGCTTGGCTTAAGGTCATTAAAAAACTATGTTTTTATTTTTGAATTTTTCCTTTTTTATTCATCCAATATTTCGATTTCCTCCGAAATGTTAAGTTTTTTTGCTCTGTAAATTATTTATAAACTACTAATGCAAAAAATATATAAATTTTGATTTTTGAAAAAATTGTAGGAGTTTCGTTTGGAGCTACTGTATGCTTTTCATAGCCAAATGTATTGGGATTAGGCCTGATAGCAGAATATAGGTAGTCGCATCGACACAGCTGCTGGGACAATGAATTGTCAAACCGATTTTGATATTGAAAATCGTGAATGAAAAATTATTGAAATTTGTAAAAATTGTTAAAAAATACAATCATTACAAATACATATCGTATAAGAAAATATATAAACATCGACTTATTTTTGACAAAGCACTTAAAAAATGTTGACATATCAATGTTCCCAAGCGTTGATGCATCTACCTGTATTCTTCTATCATGGGATTAGGCAATTATCATGTTGACCCAGATAAGGACTTGTATGTAAACGTACTTTAACATATTATTTAGTTTGTAAGAATTGGGATATTCCCCAAAAAGAATTGTTCCAATTTATACTTTTATTGGTGGGGGGCGGGGCTTTTAATCAATAATGTTTTATATACAATTTAATATTCGAAAAACTATATGTAAACAATTTGAAAATATTTTCAAATAAAAGTATATACGAATTGTGTAATTCGTATCATTTAATTTTTTTGTCTATTACAAAATGAATATAAAGAATCTAACGAATGTTCTATTTTACTACACATTTACTGAACCAAGTTTGGCGTTAACCTCACTTTTCAATGGGGTGAGTATTGAATTCTACAGACTACATTTTCGACTGGGCCACTTTACGAGTATGAAGTATTTTTTTTTTTTGAACAAAATAAGATAATTCAAACTTAGATTAATTATTAAAAACTAGTACTTGTAAATTACAATAACCCAAAATATATGAATAAAACTAAACAAAAACAAAACATAATGAAAATATAAAATACAAATCGTAGAAGAAAATTCTAAAATTTGATTAATTGCAGGATCAATTAGGAGTTAGGGTAAACTAAATATTATTAATGAATATAAGTTGGTTTTGTAGATTGGTTGTTTCAATGTCTTACTTTTTTGTGGTTTTACAAACAATTAAATCACATTTTTTTTAATATTTTTTTTTTTTTTTTGAAATAAAAGATTATCACCAAATGTAGATTAGATTTTTAACCAAACACTTACATACTATTGGCCCCATTAGAAATACAATTTCGTTTATATTGTTATTTATTGTTTAAACAAATGCTTTGTTTTTTTACATTTTGTTTGAAATTGTCTTAGTTTTGTTGTTTTTCTTAGTTGCATAATAACATTGGTTTTATTTCTTCATTTTCCCATGAAGAATCTGTATTGTGGTCCGCTGCTCCCTAGATAATTATATTTACAAAAAAATTCTTACATGACAAATCTTAAGAGGAAAAAAAGTTTTTGGCAAGCATTATTTTCTTAAAAAACGGTATGTGAATAAAAAATGAAAAACATTTGATATGTCGTCTTCAGCTGTTTGGATGTGTATCTGTGAATGAAGTTATGAATCTCAACTAGCAAATACATGTTTCCAAAAAAACAAATG